TAGTGAATCGCGGAAACCCTCAGCGAAATTACAGTGAAAAAAAATGAGAAGGCAGCAAGTCGTTCGTTGAGATTGCTAGTAAGAGCCACTTCAGGACGCTGTTTATTGGGGCGAATGTGCACGAAGTACAACGGTACTTCAGGAAAAACGAAAGTACGACCAAACAGAGCCAATTACACACTCTTTTTCTCAATCACCCTGTACAGCGTTTTATTTAGGTAGTTCTTGCGCTGTAATATGATTGAAATTCTTAGCCAATTGAATAAGTTTTCCTTTGAAAATTTCAACCTCTCATAATGGCTGTCTCATTGAAAGATAAAGTTTCATTAGATGGAGAAAAGGTTCCTTCAACCACTGATAATTCACGCCGGCATTGGTTGACATTGCTGCCAACGCGTAAAACTGCTTTCCACATCGATTGTTCTTTGTTTATGATTGTTTATGATGTTTCTTATTGCATTTAAAGGCCGCAGCTCGCGTTGCGAGGGTTTCGTAAGGAGCTGAGTTCTTGCAGCTGCGTTGAAGGCGGATTTTACCATGAAAGGCGGCCTATTGGAAATCTCGAGGAAAATGGCCTAAAACCCGATAAGGGACCCCTTCCTCGCCCGTTGATTTGCGCGCTGATGCGACTTTCATCGGTGCTGCCCTCTTCAACGCTGACGTTCTCTCTACTGAAGGGCTACAGATTCAGACACGAACCGACGAGAAGGGGGGGGGGGGTATTACGCGCCAATACTGCGCCAATAGCACCGCGAGGAAGGCAATGTTAGGTCGTCAAAGGCATAGTCTCCTATGCAAAATTCGTGTCGGTTCGCATCCTCAAGAGGTCCGCCTGTCTCCACTAGCTAAGGTTCACCTTCCTCGACCTTCAATCCTATCCTAGATATATTCTAGTTATCCCCTTTTAGGGTGCTCCGGTGGTGAGCGGTAACAGCCGCCACCCGCACAGCCCGGAAAACGGGGTACAGTTGCGGGTTCAATTCTCGCCTGGAGCAAAAGTTCCGCCTATAGCCAACATTGTGAATTTTTCCACTTTGTTTTTCGTCTAATCAGACTTGTTATCAAAAACTATTCAAAACATTTCGCTAAAGGGGCATTCGATATCTCTTATGCATTAAGTGGCATTTTATAAATTGTATTGTGAGCATTCTTTTTTTTTTTTCGGGAAAGAACTCCAAAAATCACGGATACACCTTGAATATCCGATGGTCCACTATCCTATTCAAACTGCAAGGAGGGGACTGAAGCGATAACCTGATAACATTGGCTAATGTATGTAAGTAAGTGAGTTCCTTTTGTCATCAAGCGATCCAGGAAATAATTTGCTTTTTTTTTCGGCGCTATCGAGATACGGGGGATTGCAAAGGAAAAGCATAAATATTTGCAGACATCTTCTTTTCGTTAAAAATAGAGAGAGGACTAAGCCTCGGGATGGACTCCAGAGGGCTTCGGCCGAAGTTCCTGCTCCCTTCTAGACAAGTCCTAGAAGATGCCCACGTATCTTGCAATAGCGCAGTG